TAATCGCAATCATATTCGCAAAGTATGCTACAACATCAGCATGATGCGCATCATGGGCGATTTCCATTTTAATGGTACAATCGTCGACCGATTTGTTAAGTTCGGTCACCTCGTCAGAGTGAAAATCCTCTGCGGGTTGATGTAGTGCTGTGCGATCGAAGCAATTAAATTCGACTTCGTTAACACGTCTACGGGGGTGTTTATTACCCCTTGTAAAGTCCATGGTAGAGGCCTTTCGGTGCTCTGTTCCACGGATAGTGGATGGTATTATAGCCTTGGGTGATCCATGAGTCTGGATAACATACCCAGTCTTAACTGGCTTCCGACGATTGTCATCCCAGTTGGGTAAAAGTGGCGGAGTATTTCCACCTGCCTCTGGGTCTATAATACCCTCGAGGACGCGTGACTCACGGCCTGGTGCCAGAACAGGCGAGTAGTTAGCCTGAACTTCTGGCTGTAGTGCCTCGTGAGGTATAGAGACGCTGAGCACGTCTAGATCATATGCCTCAGGTGTAGCACTTGAGTTTTTACGTTCTTCCGGCGTAATTGCCTGTCGACGTTCTGTCCACTTATATAGGGCTTCAGTAATGCCCGGGGAAACATGCTCGCGTAAGTACTGTGTATGTTTTCCTGATCTATATAATTGATCTACATGTTCGACAGTCAAGTCTTTCATATTGGTAGCTAATTGATTCTTAAGATCAGCGTTTTCAGTAATTAACTTACTTATGCGCGTTGGCTTAGTAGTCTCGGACGTAGATTCGGGTTTGCCACTTGAGCTTGCCTCCTCTTCTGGTTCCATAATAGGTTCCTTCTGAGATTTGTCCTTGTCCCCTATAATTGGGGACTTTCCTTTCTGATTTTCGTCAGAAGAATGGGTTGGGGCGTCTTGAGACGTGTCCCTTGTCTCACTTCTCGGCTTCGTAAATGCAAGCTTTCAAGCTGAGGCAATAGTTGGCCCTCGGGCTCTAACAGTGGGAGTAGTCTCCTTAAGCGGAGTGGCTACATCCTTATCTGAAGCATTGTCCTTTTGACTATTATTGTCAGAGGCAAGTACTTCGGCTACAGTGCGGTTAAACGCATCAGCAGCGGCAGCGTTAGCAGCTTCTCGCTCCATCTTCTTCTTTTCAGCTTTACGCTACTTAGAAGGAGTATTGTCTTTCTTGGTCATAATCTTAACTTATGACTACTAGCTTGTCTCTTAAGGACTAGCTTGGAAAAGAGATTTTGTTGTTGTTGTGGTAGTTAATTTACCTTTACGCTTAAGTAGTCTAAGTAATAAATACCTTTGCTAACTTTAAAATGTGTAAGATTCGGTCTAATAAAGGCGATACTAATGCCTTAGAATAAATAAACGCGTAGGCAAATTCTAGCTTGTCTCTTAAGGACGAGCTTGGACAAGATTTTTTTGTTTGTTGTGGTAGTTAATCTACCTTTACGCTTAAGTAGTCTAAGTAATTAATACCTTTGCTAACTTTAAAATGTGTAAGATTCGGTCTAATAAAGGCGATACTAATGCCTTATAATAGATAAACGCGTAGGCAAATTCTAAGTATCGTGTAAATATCAAAGTAAATAAACGAAATGAGACGTTTAGTAAAGTTAGGTATGCCTCGTGAAAACAGCAATACTCTGAGGGATTGTGAGGCTGAGACATTGCCTATATATAATCCTCTCAGTACTGTTTCCGCCGAAGGGATTTTATTTAGTGTTTCGTTGTCGATCTATTAGAAACTATGGTATGTTTCACTGGGGCGAATCCGAGAGACTCATAAAATCCTATCTTTAGAAAAAATAAATAAAAAAGAAAAAAATATTCTTGACGTCCTTAGTTATTGTCTTAACCAATAACTTGCCACTATCAAGAATTACCGACTTAGCCTTCATCAGACTGGCACATCTGGTTGGCTGATCGGAGGATCAACTAGGTAACGTTAATAGTCCCTAGAAACGTATGTTCGGTTGAGCCATCTCGTTACCGAAGTATTCAGATATAAATATAATTGAAAAATAAATAAAGTTCTATTAATAGAACTAGGCCAACTCTTTATATTTGGTATTTTACTGAGGCTCTTTAATGGCCTCATCCAAATATCTGATATGTAAAAGGGAAAAGGTATTAATTAATAAAACTATTAAAAACCATTTTAGGAAACTTAAGTTCCTCGTACTATTAAGAGTACATTTAGGAGACTTAAGTGCCTCGTACTATTAAGAGTACATTTAGGAAACTTAAGTTCCTCGTACTATTAAGAGTACGTTTTTATTTTACGTACTGCTTAAGAGTACGTTTATAACATAGAGTCTAATGTGGAGGCCCGGCTTATTACAAAACGAGGCTAATGTGGTCCTGCAAAAGGGTAAGACAGGGAATAAAGCCATCAACATATCCAGGATAATCCTATTTGAAACATTAACAAGCAATAGCAAGGGTACCGGCGGACCATATAATAAACGTAGAGGCGCAAACAGTGTAAGTGTGCGGAAAGGTACAAAAAAGGCAACACAAGCGACTACACATAAAACAGGGGTAGTGGAAGAAGACAATATGGTAGAGCTATTTGAAAATACCGAGAACCATGATGGTTCTAGTATCACTCAGTCTATGGACGAACAAAAGACTATACAAGAATTTACGTGTGTGCAGGGCCAGTAGGAAGTATCAAGTTTACATTCACAAGTGGAGTTCCAAGAACGTGCGCAGACCCAAGATAACCCTAGCAGCAGTGGTTGCGGTACGTTGGTATGCTTCTTACGGGGACCTATAATGGTGGCCGCATTGATGGTGCGAAGGTACGGAATATTTTAATGCAGGGGACGCAGGTTGCGATGCCTAATTATAGCAAGCAAAACAACAATAGTCGAAGTCAAAGTAGTGATGTTGATCAGCCTATCACATAGCTTACTGAGGATCAAGAAGGCTGCAATAAGTTGAGAATGCAGCTCCTAAGTATTTGACATAACGAAAGACGACGAGGTCGAGCGCAACTTTTTAAAATATTACCCTGTTAACGATATGGATGAGAAACTATTTTTTCTAGCTGTAGTAGTATAAAAATGAACACTGAGTACACTTGTGTTCGAATTTTATTAAAATTCGCTCTCCTGCAATTTACTAAAAACCTAAAACCCTATATATACTAAACAGAACTGTATTTTTACCTGCATTGTATCCTCTATACCATATAGTAAAAATTGAATTCGTTTCAAGATGGAAGTAGCATCTATTTTCATCGAGCAATGTGAACGCTTGATTATTGACTAGTAGCTCGAGTCAGGTAGTTTTATACCCAATCGGATGAGCATCAGACTAGTACCGGCAGGATGTATCTAATGCTGCTTACAAAAAGAGTCGACTGCATCCCGGATGAAGGGATTAGAAAGGCAGTGGAATCGATATTGCATACCAGGTAGATCTATAACACACACAAGCGCTTGTTTGTATTTTAGCATTGAAACTCAAGCACATAAATAAACACATTAAAATGTATATCATTAAATGTGCGTGTATTGTTTTTCGTTTGTTTATGTACGAATACAGAGTAATAGACGTTTCTACAGACTTGCACGTTATGTGGGTACGTTTTCGTAGATCCTTTTCAGATTTCAAACATTATTTTGAATATAAATATATCATCATACGCACAAACCTGCGCTTGGATACATATCCATACGTAATATGCGATATGATTGAATACAACTCAGATGTACACATGCATCAACACGCTGATGGAACTATCGTCTAATACGACGAATATGTTTCTATGTACCAGTGTACACTGTACGGTAAGTTGTATGCAGCTATCGATTGTTATGCTGTCGTATCTTCGGTTCATTCTATTTCGTGTTGTATGCCGACACTACCCTCTTGGATAGAAAAACGCCGAGAAAACTTAAAGTATATGACGCACAAAAACTAATGGTTCGCGTCGGAATCCGCACGTAGTCGATCACATCTTGTTTACGTCATTGACTACGTCATTGACTACGTCATTGACTACGTCATTGACGACGTCATTGACGATGTCATCAACTACGTCGCAAAACTTCTAGCAAATAAGATCAATGCATACCTTAACCACAGCAAACATTGAAGAATGGAACATCACGGCAGTGCAGAAGCTTTAGTGAAGATTTATGTGCCCTCCAAAATTTCTTGTTCGCACCATGTTACATCCTGGAACCTGAAACACCGCTAGTATGGCCGATTACACTAAGGTCTACACCAAGAGTAGGTCTCAATAGGTTTATTCGCCTGTACATTTTAAAGAGGTCTTTGATTATCTCCAATGCCATGCTGCCTCTTTATGTGTAGACGACTTGTACTATGATGCCTACTGGGATAACAAATTCACTGAAGACGTGAATGCCGCACACATTCGTTTATCTAATTTTTGGATTGAATCCCCGCCTCTCTTCCCCTCAGCGAGTTGAATTATCTGGACACAATTTTATACTTTATCGTGACATGAGCCACTCTATGCGTAAAATCATATATGTCTACATTCGCACAAAAGTAGGGAACTCAATAGACAAACGCAAACTCGATAAGCGTTTACAACGCGTGCCGACCCAGCCAAAATAAAAACGCAGTATATACGGGCTTTTATATGTACCAAATCCAGACCTAAAAACCCAATGTTGTCAAAATATAAAATCATGTGTGCGCAAAAAAGTCTACTTCCGATAATTTCATTGGTTGTTAACTATTTTAGACAGGGGCCTTTTTATTAACTTTTATTTACCAAACGCAAATTTTGAAGGGGGCCTTTATGTGCGAAAAAGTGTGACGGACAGACGGACAGAAATGCAGTAAGTCTAGAAGAATTTAAAAGCTCACGCTTTCAGTAAAAGGGGAATACAATAGCTAAATAGATAATAAAGTACGCTATTGTATCTACTGGTTGGCATATAAAAAACATACTGAAATACAAGAACAAATCACTCATAGAATAAACCTCAGTCGTCTGAGCAGTGTATAATGATTCGTCATAAGATTTTTATTCAGCAGCCGCAGCCTTACTTTCGACTAGCACCTTTTTCACAACAGGTGCCCTACTGCTGGGTAAGGATTCAGCCTTATACCAGGGGAGTTTAGGCGGAGCTAGAGTGCGTTCATCTTTGGCATTGGTTTTCTTAATCAAAGTATTCATGATAGTTTTTGCACTCCACCCTTTTGTGGCAATCTCAATCGGGGTTTTTTGTCCTTCTGCGGTAGTGAAAAGGGCACACAGGTAGATTAGAACCTCACTACAGCGATTATCTTGGTACATAATCTAGATCTAGAAGGCAAGTCAGACTACATACCTACACAAAAAGCGGTTGACAAACAGAGCTAAATAAATTTGCCTACGTATAATAATACGCACTGATACATCACAAAACGAAAATTTTTGACCTGAGCCCCTACATACCTATACGCAGAGAACGATAGGTGTTTGAACGATCTAGATATTTATGGAGTAGTACGACAGGTCTTTTCGATAGACAATAGACTCATCAACATTTCAAGGTGAGAAGGACTTTAATTCCCCATAAACTATCGAATATTGAATGTAGCTTTGCAATGCATATCGAGCAATCACGACGTTTCACGACGTTCGGAGTATAATACAACTCTCATACACTTGACTCATATACACACACACACACACACGCACATATATATATATATGTATATATATAGATATATACATATAAAAATATATACATATTTATAATACACAAATGTGTGTCTACGTGCAAACTTCCCAGTGTAGAACAATCTAATTTTGTAAACTCTTTCGCACATGAATATATTTGCGCAAACTTTCAAGTTCAGAACAATTGAATTCGGTGAATAACTCCACACATAATCTTATCTCTAACGCACATGTATGTCTACATGTAAACTTTCCAGTTCAGAACAATGTAATTCGGTGTATAACTTCACAGATACTCGTAACCCTAACGCTCATGAATACCTACGTGCAAAGTTCCAAGTTCAGAACAGCGGAATTCGTCGCAATGGCAATGACCTGGTTATCTTATACAACAAACATAAACAATACTCAATATTCACGGCAATCATCAGTTTCGTTGGTACGCCCTCAACCAAAAAATTATGCGAGGAGCTCGATCACAAAGCCACTACCAGTGCACCGATTTGAGGGTTTTTAGCTAAAACTCTAAACCCTAAAAACCATACCCATGGTCAACCTCAGTCCAGTGGAGAGTTTCTTGCTATGAGTCATCGTCACCACCAAATCTGGGTTGTGGTACTTTATTTGGGGGATGTGTTCGAACAAGAAGATCCTGCCATCATTCAGCAGAATATGTCAATGAGATGTCAGTGTGCCAGTGATTCGCTTGGATTAGGTCATCACCTACGAAGGCATTGATAACCCATCAAAGCCACGAGATATATTGTTTTCGCTTTTGCGAGACAAGCAAGTAGTATGTAATCTATCAGGTATGTATACTCGTATATGAAAGTGTTCAACAGTTATATGTACAAGCGCGTATTCGTGTCTCGGCCATAAATTATGTGTTTCTAGAAATATTTCTGCATTTACATACAAAACAAGAAAGTGAAGTATTACACACACATACATACAAACAGACATATCTGTATCTATATGCAAATAGATTGAAAACAAAATACATATACATACCCATATACATATATACGAAATATATTGTACTTGCATATACCCAGATATAGAAAAGAATACATGTATAATACTATCAACATACACAGATGCACACCTACAACTACATCATAGCCACTGCAATTCTACATATATATTCACAAAAACATGTACGTCCATTTTAAATACCCAGTGATAATGTTACAACGCATGTTTCTTTTAATAAACTTCATTGTACATGTACCTATACGTATGTGTGTATGTATATACACATTTACATAAATTTTAACGTACTCGTACACTCACATATATATACACACACATACACATACACACATACACACACACATACACGCCTATATCTATATATACTATACATACTCATAAACGTATAATCACGAATGCGCAAAAATTCCATTTGAATCGTATACATTATAACATATACTCAAGTAACTATACATATAGATAACCACGCACATGTATGCAGATTTAATATATAGATACATCGGTATGATCAAGACGCATATATTTATATTTGAATAAATCACATTCCTGTATGTTGATTCAAACTGTATATATACATACATATATATATATACATACATGCATATACACAGATTATGTATATATATATACACACATATATATATATAAATTTATGCAAGAAAACCAGACACAAATATACATACACAAGCACATGTAGACATACACACACAAAATATATGTATAACCAGAGACACACACAGACACACACATGCATCCATATAAAATTATATAGAAAGATATTACTTTTCTATATATATATATATATATATATGTATACACACATGACATACATATATTCATATATGCATACATGCATATATATATACACACACACACACACACATATATATAAATGTATACATATATATAAATAGAAATATATACGTATATGCGTATACATATACACATATACACATATACATATACATTTAATATATATAG